AACAGTAAACGTACAGGCATGGCATCACCCCTACAGGAGACGTGTTATTACACGAAGCGCGTCTAGGAGGAGCCTCTGCACGCCTTAACGTTAAGCCACCGGATCAGGAGGTCCGGTGGCCATCATCTATATTCACTGGTCAGTGTATTTAAGAGCTCATTTACACTATACCTGTATAGGTACTCCAACCCTGTACGTTTACTGTTTTATCTTAATGATATATACTCAATAAATACTTTTTACAATACTACACTATGAGCATTCTCATCTCTACTACCTGGCACTGAGCCTCCACATCTCAGCCCAGCATTCTAGGAGTCCACCCAGGCAGGACAATTTGGGAAATTGGTCCAGATCAACTTCTCTGGCAGCCGTCACCCTATCCACCACCAGAGGGCACCTTTATCATCATGCTATACCTTCATGGGACCTCCGGCTTCATGGAATTTCTATGTGCACATTAAATTGCACTTCCGGTGAGTGGGCAATTTTTCTACACCTTCATGTTAGGATGCTGGAATATACCCATTTGGATTGAAGTCGTTTATACTCCATCACTGGAATATACCTTTTTGGACTGATATTATATTACCTTGGACTGTTTTAACATCCAGTTTATGGGATTTTTCCATTTCTGTCATATTTCGTCATACTTTAGACAGTGTGTTTTATTTATATAGCGCTGCACACCCTATTTTTATGTCACTTGCACTACATAGTTGAAGGTAAATCTAAAGGAAATTGGGCAGAAACTGGACAGAGAATTGTATATGCATCACATGAGCAAAGGGGAAGTTTAGGAGGACTTCCCTCACTATGCCTGGTGCCATTCTATCTGAAGTCTAATAAGTATTTTAATGGAAGAAAGAAGCTTGCTAGGGAAAGAGGGGTTTTGCTCAGGTAAGGGGTGGATGGGGTAGTGGTTTTTGCTAGGGGGGGTTTGCTGGGGAAGGGAGATTTTTTGGTGGGGGGTTTTGCTGGAAAGGGGAATTTGTTTGCTGTTGGGGGCTCTGCTTAGGGAAGTTTTTTTTTTTTTGCTGGTTAGGACTTTTGCTGGGGAAAGAATGGGAGGAATGGGGAGGAGGTGCACTTTTTGCTTGCCAGGAAGGGAGAATAAACTTTTGGCCGTATAGTGTCACAATTGCCAGTTTAACATCCACATAGTTATGACTACCCATCTGATGTCTTCATATTGTCACAATTGCTCATATATTGTCACAATAGCCAGTTGTTGTCTCCATACTGAGGTTATCCTGATACTGGGGTTGATTTACTAAAACTGAAGAGTGCAAAATCTGGTGCAACTCTGCATAGAAACCAATTAGCTTCCATATACACACATTGTAAATGATGTATAGCACGGCAAAAAAAAAAAAGGGGAAAAGAGTACAAGGGGAAAGGTGAGGGGGAGATTGGAAGCATATGCCTCCATAATTGCAAAAATTTACAATTAGTAGGTGTATCTGTGTAACTTGATTCAAAAATAGACATCCACAAAGCAGAGGCAGTCTAGTTAGTTGATGTTTATACTTCATATAGATTGGCCTTTCCTTCGGGTGGTGCCCCAGTGGGATCCTTGCAGTAACCCTTTCAGGGCTGGAGATGTGAATTTAAAGATCTTACACTGATGTAGGCTAGACGTAGGCTAGACTGCCTCTGCTTTTTGTGGATACACCTACTAATTGTAAGTTTTTGCAATTATGGAGGCATATAGTTACAAAACTCCCCCTCCCCTTTCCCGTTGTCCTCTTTCCCCGTATTTTTATGCCGTGCTATACATCCATTTACAATGTGTATATGCTGTAAACCTGAATGTATGTAATTACTGATATGACATTATTGTATTGTAGCATCATTATACCAGTAAATCTCCTGCAGAAGGAACTCCATTCCGAAACATGTTGGGAATTATGGGAAAATGTTATTATCGCCAAGCAAGACACGCATCTATATTGTTGTATTTCTAAATACACTTGGGTATATGCCAACTCAATTATTTGGTGTATCATATTGTATTTTACCTTTATCCAATTGGACATTAGGACATTTTTTTGGAAATAATAATAAAGATAGATTTCTTGTTTTTTAATATATTTCATGTTTCATATCTTCTGCTTCTAAAGTCTCTGGGGAACCCTTGGACCTGTAGGTCGCCTTTCTTTTGTATCATCATATAGTTATGATTGCCTGTTTGTGGTGGCCATATAGTGTTAATTTCCCATTTGCTGCCCACATATTTATACAATAGGCAGTTTTCTGCATGCGTATTGCAATGATTGTCTATTTGCTGCCTACATATTGTAACTGTTGACTGATTGCTGCCTGTGTTTTGCATACAATTGTCCATATGGAGCCAACTTATTTTCTTCATTCATTTTTGAGTACATATTGTGAAAGTACAGTAGATGATCATATTACCATAATTTAGTTCTCTGCCACTATCAAAGTCAACCACTATTATCCTTATGTTTCGCCATGGTGCACAAAGTGCACTGCTGTTAAACCCTTGAATTTCATGTTACTTAGCATGCCATTACTGTCCCCATGGGGCTTATTTACTAAAGCTGGAGAGTCCAAAATCAGACTCCCTTCTGCATAGAAAAAAAATCAGCTTCTAACCTCAGCTTGTTCAATGAAGCTTTGGCAATGAAACCTGGAAGCTGATTGGTTTCTATGCAGAAGGGAGTCTGATTTTGGACTCTCCAGCTTTAGTAAATAAACCCCCATGTGTCTCTGTGGCAAACTATGCCAGCCACTATTAAAACCTTTCATTTTAATTAATGTAAGCTCATTTTTTTTGTCTGTGGTGGCTCACTACACCTGCTGCTATTTAAACCTAAATCCTTTTTGCTCTTACCTGGAAGGAGATGATCCAGGGCTTCCAAATTCATTTGCTAACTGAAATAGAGAAGTAGAGATTCAAGTATGGTTGTTTGTAAAATACCAGCTGCATTGCATATTTTTTCAAATTAACGTGTTGTCTAAAAAAAAAAAGGAATATAAAGATAAAGTGTTTTTTTTTCATTCATTTCTTCTCTTGATGTCATAGGGAGAGGAAGTGAGAAAAAAAATTACCCCAGTGAGGTCACAGACAAAAAAAAAATGGTGCCAATTAAAAAGAAAAGTATTGACTAGAGTATTAGACTCAAAGTGGTATTAACTCCAAAAGCAAACTGCAGCTTACCTACATGTGATGGCTGTATTAGTTTCATTTTTTCAGCTTTTTTTCTTCTATTTACATCTGGTGATCCGACCAGTAAGTGTGCTGTTTTACAGAAGCACAGGCTTTCTAGCAGAATGTATCAGTTTACATGGATGAGACAGACCATTTGAGGGGGTGATTAAAATGATTAGCTTTTATTTATTCTTGTAAAACCTTTATCCCAAAAGGAAGAAAACTGTTGCAACTGATTATAAAGTGTGAGCTGGAGTTTGGCTTCAGTTTGTTAGTGTATTTAAAACTGCTGGTACATTTATCTATTCCAATCCACATCTATTGATTGGTAAGCTGCAAATTATTGCATTTTTGGTTTGGGGTTTAATACCCTTTTAAACACCTGTATTCACAATTGTTGTTAGATTTGTATTAAGGAAAATACAGTAGGAGTGGGAACACCCAGGATCACCTCTGTAAGACACCAAGGTATGTGGGTGAATAGTAATAGCAGCACTAGCCACACTGTATTAATATATTGCTCCCCCCCATCCAACCAAATTCTCCAGCTCTAGAGCATCAGGGGCATGCCCCACAACTGAAGGTGCTGCTTGGATGAGAGGTTAAATGTTGCTAACATTATGAAACAAGTTCAGTTGAATGTGACAAATTATCTATACCTTGACCTGGTGAATTGAGAACATTCACCGACAAACAAAGGGTGAATAAGCCTACCACATTTCTTCTATAAATGAAACATCACTTCTAGATGGATTGACAATTTAACTAATTATTATTGGAAGAAAACATACCTGCACCAGGTCTGGGCTGATCATGCTGTACGGTCGCTGCCGGAAGGTGCTTGTACGCGGTGAAGGTGTGTATCTTACTGCTTCTAGCCGTATATTTTCAGATTCGGGGATTGTAACACCAACTTTGTCCAGATTTCCAGTGCTGCTACTGTTTAATTTACTAAGAGGATAACTGGAAACACAAATAAATATGTAACATACAATTTATGGCCACAAAGAGTTCATAGCAAGCAAGAAATATGCTTACTAGGATTACCAATAAATGCATTATTATGTTTCAGCAATACCCCCATATCAATCATACCTTTCTTGCAGACATCAGACCATGTAGATGCAAGCTCAGGAGTGATAATGACGACTGCAAGCACTGGAAAAGATCATTAATTTGCAAGAATAGCCTAAAATGCTGGAAATCTCTGCTCAAAGCATAAAGCTGACTGATTCAGGGGAAATATCAAGCCACCTTGCAACGGTGGTGTGGCAATTGCAAGCAAGCAGTGTCAGATTTCTGACCATTATATGACCAGTCCAAAAAATTAAGGTGGTGACTGGAAGATCCAGCAAGTAAATGAGCAATCATCAAAATAACTGGTGTATAAATATGAAAACCTATGCTGGCTATGTGATGTGTACCCTTCAGAAACTCCTACAGCCTATGTTAACTCAATGGAACAACAATTACCAGCTAGAAAAATCCAACCTGGTTGATCAATTCTTCCTCTAAGTATGATGGCCAAGGGTTCTCTGCATAGATTACATACTGTCCATAAATGCTACCTACTGTAGATATTGTAACATCATTTTATCTGTGAATACCTTACAAAAACCCTGCACCTTGCCTATTCAGAACAATCTGACAGGGTGTATTTAACCACCTCCCGGCCATATAAGGCAATGAGTTCTCAAGGTAGTTCTCTCGTTCTGGGAGGACGTCATATGACGTCCTCTCATTCTAACCCGCGCATGCGCGGCTCCAGGAGCTCGCAGCGAGGCGATCGGCGGTGCGCTGTGTCCCTCGGACACAGCGGATCACCGATCAATGGAAAGCCGAAGATTTCGGCGTGGTCATGTGATCAGCTGTGTCCAATCACAGCTGATCGCATGTAAATAGGGAAATGCCGGTTATCTGCATTTCTCTCTCCTCACAAGCTCCTGACAGGGAGAGGAGAGCCGGTAATCAGCATTGCTCAGAGGGGACATGTACACTGATCATCAGGGCACTGATGATCAGTGTGCCCTGATGATCAGTGTAGCCCCAAGCAGTGCCACCTGTCAGTGCCCATCAATGCCACCTGTCAGTGCTCATCAGTGCCACCTGCCAGTGCCCATCAGTGCCACATCAATGCCACATATCAGTGCCTACCAGTGCACATCAATACCACATATCAGTGTTCATCTGAGCTGCCTTTCAGTGTCACCTATCAGTGCCAGTCAGTGCCACCTATTAGTGCTACCAATCAGTGCCACCTATCAGTGCCAGTCAGTGCCGCCTATCAGTGTCAGTCAGTGCCGCCTATCAGTGTCAGTCAGTGCCGACTACCAGCGCCACCACCTAACAGTGCCACTCAGTTGCACCTAACAGTGCCAGTCAGTGTCGCCTATCAGTGCCAGTCAGTACCACCTATCAGTGTCATATATGAGTGCTGCCTTTCAGTGCCCATCAGTGATGCCTGTCAATGCCCATCAGGCCACCTACCAGTGCCTCTTTATCAGTGCCCATCAGTGCCAATCAGTGCAGCCTCATTAGCGCATATCAGTGAAGGAGAAAAATCACTTATTTACAAAATTTTAAAACAAAAACTAAGAAAAAACTTTTTTTATCACAAATTTCAGTTGTTTTTGGTTTGTTTAGCAAAAAATAAAAAACCCAGAGGTGATTAAATACCACCAAAAGAAAGCTCTATCTGTTTAAAAAAAATTAAAAAAATTTCATATGGGTATAGTGTTGCATGACCGCACAATTGTCATTCAAATTGAAAATTGGCATGGGCAGGAAGGGGGTATAAGTGCCCAGTAGGCAAGTGGTTAAAGCTCAACTCCCTACATTGTAGTATATTGTGTGTAATGTATATATTTTATGACAACAAACATAACTACAATCCACTCCCTAATCCATCCCAACCACTGCAATCTACCACGCTGACTAGTGTTGAAGCTTACAAACAACAATGACATCACCCCACTATCAGGGCTGGGTTGCTAGGCCACTGCATCATTGGAGGATGTCACATCAGATATTTTGCAGCGTCTGCACAAGGGTTGGTTGGGGGAGCACTGTGAAGGTGTGTATAACTGGGTCAGGGGTAGGCCTTAAAGAGACCTTGTCACTTCCTGAATGGTAAAGATGAGAGGGTTCTTTAAGGTTAGGTAAGGGAAGAAACATTCTTTAATGCATAGCTTTTACCCCTAGGCAGATGAGCCACTAAAGCCAATAGTCAATGAATGCCAATAGTCAAGGAATGGATAACCCATATTGCCACTGTTTGTAAGAACTGCGCCAATCCCACAAAAAAAGCCAGGTTACATTATTCCCGACAATACCTTCACACCTCACTTTTTGTGCCATTGAAGCAGTAAAGGCTTTTTTCTGGCAACTCAACCATGCAGCTAATTTTTGTTCAAGTATTGTCGTGTTTTGCTCCCTGAGACAACCACACCATCTTTTTCAAGAGCAGCCTTTATTTCTCCTGAGGTTACCTGTGAATTTTGTCTTTGTATCCCGAACAATTCTTTTGCTAGTCTTTCTTGGTCTAAATGACCTTGGCTCGGTATCAAGAGATCCCCAAATTCTCCACTTCTTAATATGTGATTAAACAGGACTGACTGGCATATTCAAAGCTTTGGATATTTTTGTGTATCCTTTTCTATCTTTATAAAGTTCCATTACCTTGTGACACAGGTCTTTTGACAGTTTTTTTTCTGCTCCCCATGGCTCAATATCTAGCTTGCTCAGTGCATCCATGTGAAAGCTAACAAACGCATTGACTAATTATACAAAGACACTAACTAAAATGTAAAAAGCAACAAATGTGAGATTAACCTTCAATTGCCATTTTAACCTGTATGTGTCACCTTGTGTGTCTGTACCAAAGCCAAATATTGCAGGGTATGTAAACTTTTGATCAGGGCCATTTGGGTGATTTCTGTTATCATCATGGCTTAAAAAGGAGCCAAAAGGACAATGTGATAATAAATGGCTTCATTCGATCACTCTCCATAAATGAAAGACAGTTTTTGGAATGATCAGTCATTTTCAATATGAATGCCAAATTTTCACAATTTCTGCCAGGGCATGCAAATGTTTGAGCACAACTGTACATATACTATGTATACCGTATTATACCTCCTTTCTTTTAATTTTGATATGGCAGTCCCTGGATTTCCATGTTCTTTGTTTGCGAATTGCTTGTTTATCCCACAAATGACTACTAGAAGTGCATACTAAGATCCCCCCCCCACCCCGATCCATGGATTTCAATGGGATTTGCTGTAAAGATCACAAACTTCAAACTTGCAATATTCACAACACTTTTTGTGAATTGAAACCAGGCATATTTGCTCAGCCCAATTTAAGATCTCAAATGAAAATCTGAAGTGCAGTGCTTGAAATATAGTAAAATGATTAAAAAATATCAAAAAATTATGTAATACAAAATAACAAATGAATGCCCGTGAGAGCAAATGGTGCAAACCAAAATTTAATTATATAAAAAAGTGTTGAAGTAATGTACATCAATCACCATAAAATGGCTCTTGCTTGTAGTAAAGCAACTCCAATCTACATATTCCGTGACCGTCTCCCAGTGAATTGAAAACTCACCAGAAATGATGGCTACCTCTACAACAGCATAAACGCCTGCATATTTGTGCCTGCGTGGGTTTCCTCCGGGTACTCCGGTTTCCTCCTACACTCCAAAGACATGCTGGTAGGTTAATTGGATCCTGTCTAAATTGGCCCTAGTATGTGTATGTGAGTTAGGGACCTTAGATTGTACGCCCCTTGAGGGTTAGGGACTGATGTGAATGTACAATATACATGTAAATCGCTGTATATTTACAATATACAATATACATGTAAATATATTTACAATATACATGTAAATTGACGGCGCTATATAAGTACCTGAAATAAATATTTAAACAGGACCACATATCACATGGTCTTGACGTGAAACTGTGAATACGTGTCATTCTGTCTGGCCGGGCATGTCTCTCCTCCATAGCCGGGACACGAGGAAAGACATGCCCGGCCAGACAGAATGACACGTATTCACAGAGTTTCACATCAAGACATATGTGGTCCTGCTTAAATATACGGCATTTATGCTGTTGTAGTGGCAGCCATCATTTCTGGTGCGTTTTCAATTCACTGGGAGACAATGATGGCATATATAGATCGGAGTTTCTTTACTACAAGCAAGATCACTTTTATGGTGGTGGATGGACATTACTTCAACACTTTTTTATATAATTCAATTTTGGTTTGCACCATTTGTTCTCACTGACATTCATTTGTTATTTTGTATTACATCATTTTTTTATATGTTTTAATCATTTTACTATATCTTAAGTGCTGCACTTCACATTTTCAGTTATTATATAGGTTCCTGTATTACCTATTTATGTCAGCTGCATTTTATTACCATTCAGCGCGGATATTGTTCATTTTATAAGATCTCTATTGATCACCTTTCTCTTATGACACTGAAATAAAAAGGTTGTGCATGTGACCACCATTGAAATATAATTGTTTTGACAAACTGGGAAATGGTCATTTGCATTGGAGGTTTTCATGCTGCAACAACTGTCATATGTATTTTCATTATAGTGAACTGGCCAACCAAAGTTATTTCTACATATGACCTACCATGCCTTAAGACTTGGCATAACACTTTATAGGTTAGTCTGAGAATATCCGAAAGTGATCAGAAGACATAAAATAATAAGCAATGTTACTCACTTTGATCCAAACTTATCTGAAGACTCTGCTGGTGGAAGGGGACGAGTATAGGAAAATGGAAACCAGCCTTTCCTATAAAAAGAAATAATAAAAATAAAAACATAATAATACTAATAACAATTTTGCAGCTACTAATTAATCTGTAGTGGGAGCCACTGCACAGGTAGGCCTGGGCTTCGCACTGTCTCCTGTTCTTCTTGAATGAATCACAGGCCAGCTAGACATGTCTGGTACAGCTTCAAAAGAGCCGCCTAGCAGATCATAGTATAAGATACTCAAGCTCCATCAGATGGCACCTCTGGATTGAGGGGTACAGGGTTAGAATATCTGTCAGATTTTATTACTGCCTGCAGCCCCATTTGGGAAGAATGTCCTTTACTTGTCCTGATGACAATTTGATAGGACAAATTGAAGATAATTTTTTTTCCATTTTGGGTAGAACACTGAAAGGTTAGAATCTCCTAATTTTCTGTCCTGACACCCATCATATAGTGTGTAATTGACTCAATTAAAAGCACTAAGTGTGATCTCTGCCTGCTACTTAATTCCTCTGCTATCAGCATGAGTCACTGCAGTTTTCCTGACACCAAGAGAAAAATGGTGACAGGGGAGAGAGCTCCAGCAGATTGACAGCATCGGCTCTGTTCCTGTGATCTGTGTGGACGGGGTGTGTCACTTCCTTCCAATGAGCCCTCAGAGCTCTCCTCACTGAGCTCTGCAGTGCCTAATGTCAGCTCATCCCCTCCTTTTTTTCTGAACTCTCAGACAAGCCATACAATTTAGCACTTTGAACAGATATAGAGACTGCATATATAAAGGTACAACTTATGTAGGAGGATTTGTTTCATTTCTGTGTGTCACCTGAGGCTAATCACATCACTGGGTATATGTAAGCGTTTACAACCACTTTAAGTGAGGGATAATGTCCCTGATGGGGACAAGGACAGCAATAGAATGCTTAATGTTTAAATATGTACCTCTCTTGAGTTAGGGCTAGAGTTTGGTTTTAATGTATAGATTTTGGCAGCCATCTCCATGTGGATTTTGCTTATGATCCCAATGTTTGCAGAGGTAGCAGGGACAGGAAGTGATGGGATATCTCTCCCATGGGGACACAAGCATAAATGCAGTAGTGTTTAGGAAGTGTTAGATCCTCTGACAAGTTTTTCTTTGGAGCGCATGTTAGTTCTTGACCTGATGTCACAGATAAAAAGTAAGAGAAATCTTCCCAGTGGAGTCACAGACAGAAATGAAAAAAAAGAAACATAAGACATTAACATTTAAGGCTGAGCAAAGCATCTTTTTATAACTTACTCATACGCAGCCACCAGCTTTATAAACCGAGACAAAATTGGTAAAATATTTAGAGATCTAAACAGCTCTAAAATGAGAAACTATAAAAATGCTTCTGTTAAGTCTGGAGTTCTTTAAAGAGTAACTGCACTTTTGTTCAGAAAAAAAAAAAACCTTCCCCTCTGGGTGATCTATGTACATTGTAAGGA